ACGGGATTCCCTCCCGGGGCGTTCGGGGGACGTCTACACTATGTGATGTGTAGGGTCAAGCTCCAGGGCAAACCAACCAACCGATCACTGTGAGTAATATCTTAACAAAGATATCTGAAATATGTTGTTGCCCAAATTTCTTACTTCTATGTAAGTTTTATAAGTTCGTTGATTCGATTGATGGATAATGTTTCTATACCAAATGAATGGGCTGGAGGCCAGTTTGATCTGAATGATAGAGTGAGTGGGCCAGAGGTCGTTTTGACAAGAATGAATGAATGGGCCAGAGGCCGTTTTGACATGAATGAATGGGCCAGAAGCCGTTTTGACACGAATAAATGAATGGGCTAGAGGCCGTTTTGACACGAATGAATGAATGGGCCAGAGGCCGTTTCAACATGAATAAATGAATGGGCCAAAGGCCAGTTTGATACAAATAAATGAATGGGCCAAAGGCCAATTTGACATAAATGAAAATATGAATTAGGCCCAAGGTCGTTTGAAGTATGTTGTTCTATTTATCGTTTGTATAACTTCTTTATTTGATATTATTCACTGGGCTATCGCTCACACTCATTCATGTGTTTGTAGGTGAGCCAAGAGAAGTCCAGACCCAGCCCCAGTGATGTCTGTGTGAAACAACAAAGGTTTTGAAAAGTCAGCCCTTGCGTCTCACGCACGAGACCCGTCTTCGCCCTTTTGTCATTCTGTTCTATTTTGTCATGTGGGTGAAGTCTTTGAATATGTTGTATATAGTTTTCTTGGGTTGAATTAGACGTATATGATCCTGTATGTACAGAACCTTGTGTATTACATATTTTGTTGTGAGTTATTAATATGCATATGTATGGTTTGTTATGATGTGCCATGTAAGCAAAACTCTATGGACAAAGTTTTAAACTGCTTCCGTTTGACTCCCATTAACTCTGTTAACATACATTTGCTTTGGTTTGAGGCCGTAGGTAATCTCATGATTACTGGCCGGTTATGTCCATAACCCACGGGGGCGGTTCGGGTCATGACATAAGCAGGGTGTGATAACCTTGCTCTGTGTTATGTTAATTAGCCTTAATTATGATTGTGATTATATGCTTAATATGATTTTGGTGATAATTGTGTGATTATTTATGTTTTTTGAAACTATATATGTTCATCGTAGGAAAATCTATCCAACTTACTGCTATAATTTGAAAATTGAAGACCATAGAGGTTACAGAAACTGGAATTGTCTGCACCATTGTGATTAGCGTGATTTTTAGAGCATACGGTGAAATTTAATTAAAAATTGATTCGGACTAAATTAATTAGATTGAATTGATTAATTTAAGCTCAATTAATTAGCCTTAATGAAAATTGATTAGGCAAGTATATATAAGTGACCTATTTACACTTATGCTCAACCTTTTGAGCTCATTGCTCTTTACTTGGTTGAACACTCTCGAGAGAGAGAGAGAGGTGGAATTAAGCAAGAAGCTTGAATTTGAGAAGGTTAACTCAAGAACTAGCTAGAATTTGAAAGATTGGAGCTCCTAGGTGAGTAATTGAACTCAAACTCATGGGTTTAAGTTTTATAATTCAGTGAATTCAAACAAGATATGTAATTAAGAACAAGAATTGAGTTGATGATAATGAATTTGAATTTAATATGTACATGCATGTGAGAATAAGCCATAAATTTGCATATTTGAATGTGAAACATGTTGATCATGTTAAATTGAGGGTTGTTTGACACATGCATGCAAGAATTTTTATGTATTGAAGCTTAATTTCAAGCCTAGGAGATTGTCCATGCAAGATACAAAACATGAATTATGTATATATAAAGTTTATGGTTTGAAATTTGTTAAACCTATGGAATTTTGAACTATGGTTGCTAGTTATCTTCAAATATATTTTTTGGGAGTGCACTTGCATGTTTTAGTATTTTATGCATGAATTAGACCTTTGGAATTGTAATTTGAACTTCAAACAGAATTTTGTAAATTCCAGAATTCTACCTGTCCGCTCGAGTGAGAAAAGTGTTGATCGAACGTGAAAATCAAGCTCCCAAAAGTTTTACAAAGAATTATGCCGTAGCTCGAGCAGCAAACATTGCACTCGAGTGGACCTTGTTTTGCAAGACTCCTCACTCGAGTGTTAGAAATCTCGCTCGAGCGTAAAATTTATGCAACTAATACTTTTATAGAGTTTTGTAGGCCGCTCAAGCGGAGAGCCCTGTTTCAGAAATTTTGAACAGTTATTTTATGTTTCGTTTTCCGTTCTCTTTCATTTCTAAGCACTCTTAGGCATGCATTGAACATTATAAATGAACAAAAGGGATAAGAAAGAGGCCTAAAAGAAATAATAAGTTAAGAACAGATTGAATTGTTTGTGACCCAATGAGTTATGAAATGTGTAGGGTCAAGCACAAGGGCAAATCCATTAACAGAACACTGTGAGTAATATCTTAGTAAAGGTATTTTTAAGTATGCTACTTTCCAAATGCTTACTTCTATATAAGTTTCATGGATTTGTTAATTTGAATTGTGAACGAGTATTCATTATGCCAATGAATAAATTGGGCCCGAGGCCGTCTAACATGAATGAATTGGGCCTAAGGCAATTTGATATAATGGGCCAGAGGCCGTTCGATATATTTGGGGCTGGGGCCATTTGATGTATTGGATAGGAATATGAATGGGCCTAAGGTCGTTTGATATGTTTGTTAAGAATTGCATTCAAGTAACCTGTTTACCTTGGTATTATTCACTGGACTTTGGCTCACTCTTATCTATATGTATGTAGGTGAGCAAAGAGATGTCCAAACCCAGCTTCAGTGAACCTCAGTGGAGGATGTGAGAGAAATCCAAGTTTTTGAGAAGTTAGTCCGAACGTCTCACACACGAGACTTGTTTTTGTTCTTTTGTTTACTCTTTTTGCTACCTTGGTGAATATGTCGGATCATCCATGTATATAAAATTTTGTTTGGCTGACTACATGTTTGAAGTTCCTGGACATACAAGATTTTACAAGATGTTAATTATGCCTATATGTGTGAGTTATTATGGAATGCTGTTGGAATAATTTTGCTATGCTATATAAGCACAGCTCATTGGACAAAATTTTTAAGTCTGCTTCTGTTTTGGCCCCTTTATTTCTATTGAAACATGTTTAATTAGGCTTGAGGCCGTAGGTAATCTCATGATTACTGGTTGGTTATGACCTTAATCTATAGGGGCAGGTTTGGGTCATGACACAAGGGATATGGCTAATGTCAACAGCAAGAGCTGATGTTAGCAAGACGTGGCACACAGTAGCATACAGAGAGTGCGGTGCAAGTAGGCGCGACGTACACTAGTAATAGACGAACGCAGTGCATAAGAGACAAGATGACGTTAGGTTAATGGCAATCGACTCAGCTTGGCTTGGAACGAAGCGGCGGCTGACGAAAGTGGCTGACTGAAGGTTGTGACATGGGGTGTTGTAAGCAGCGTATGAGAGGTATGTTGTGGATGGTTTTGGTGGCGTTGGAACTGTCTGGAAATTCCGAGCAGGTTGATAATAGTTTCAGAAAAAAATAGTGACCTTGGTACCAGAAAAGATATTCTGTATTCTGGTGATGAGCAAAAGAGAAGAGAAAATTTTATAGCTCTAATGCCATGTTACAATATTTAAGAGAGAGAAAGAGAAAGAGAAATCTGTATATTATTGAATATGTTAACAATGTAAACAAAACTCCTTTATATAGAAAAAGAGAAGCTAACTATGATAATACACAAAATATGATATGTAAATATACTGAGAATATATACTACATGTAACAAATAGGATGACGATCTCCTCCCCACCACTTAACCCCCACGCTTCCACCATGCTGGATCGGATGCTCTGCCTCTTCGTCGCCCACTCTATTTTCACTTGCTCTGTCGTCCACCCCACCAATCCCACCGCTATCACCACTGCCACCGCACATGAGTCACGACTAGAGTCAAAGTCAGCAATAATTTATGGGCTGGCACCAGTGGCCAAATACTTCGTTTGCAACCAAGACGAAGTTTCATTAGGGCCGTTGATGTCCCTCCTTCAGGACAAGGTCTTCATGGATAGTTTGTAGTCATTCCAACTATCACACTCTCACTCCTTTACTCTCTAATTATGTCTCTCTTCCCCTTCCCTTCCCTTCCCTTCTTTTCTCATGTCTTCTCTTCTCTCCCTCACTCATCTGCTAATTAATTGAAGTCTAATTTTACTAGTAATTAATTGGGAAAATTGTCAATTTTAGCTCTAATTGTATCAATTTTACTCTTGAATCTGTTAACCTAGTCTGATTGATAACCTCTCTTTTCTTTTCTTTTTCTTTTTTTTTCTTTTTTTTTAAATCACTAAAATCAAAAGGCCAATATTTCATTCACTTCCACCAAGTATTGAAGAGTTGTCATCCAATTTAAAAAATAGTCCAATTTCTTAACACATCAATTGAACTAAAATTGATACAATACAAAAAGTTAACGCAACATGAAAATTAAATAGGAAATTGATACAACTAAAACTACATATTACTCAAATTAACATAAAGATTTAAATATTGCAGGATCACGAATATAATTTCCCCTTCTTAATTCATCCTCTTGGTTGTTGACCAAGAGAAAATCTTTTTATTTATTTAATTGAATTTGTGACATCTTTAATTTTGTTTTTGGCATGAGGAATAAATTGTGGATCTTCTTTAGTGGTATATGTATATTTCTGTAGGCCTTTGGAGGCAATAACTTAGTATCGTTGTTTATTTATATAGTAATGACATACAATAGAAAGTTTATGTATATATATATATATATAATTTTTTTTTTTTTTTTTTTATGGAGAATTAAAGATAACTGAGAATTAATTTCAAGATATCCGCTTTTTTTTTATATAATTTAAAAAATATTGCTATCACATCATTCTATTGTTTTGATGAGTGTTTTAAATAAATTCCATACATAAATGCTTAACAATAATAATATAAAAAAGCGACAGTCATGGAAGAAGGGATTCCATTTAAGAGGGTCCACGGGACGCATGCATTCGAGTACCCAGGGAAGGACCCCAGGTTCAATGAGGTATTCAACAAGGCAATGATAAACCACACCACCATAGTCATCAACAAAATCCTCCAATGCTCCCCCTACAAGGGTTTTGGGCAACTCAATCTCAATCATAAAAAGCTTGTTGATGTTGGTGGTGGTCTTGGAGTCACCCTCAGCATCATCACCCCAAATACAACCCATATTAAGGCTATTAATTTTGACCTCCCGCATGTTATCCAACATGCCCCTCCCTATCCCGGTGCAATTTATTTTCATTCATTAATTTAAAGCATCATATACTTGTATCATTATTAACTTTCATTTTATCAACGTACCGAGATAGATCACTGTTGCCATTGGATTATCATTAATCAATTCAATACAAATGTCTCCTCCACTCGACTTTTTAGCTTCTATATTCTATTAATAAAGAGACTCATTTTGTCCATCGAAATGGTTAAAAATTTCTCAAGCCATCAAGAATGTGTTATGCTGTGATGTGATTTCTGTTGCCTTGACTGTAGATAATACTAGGTCGATCCTTTATTCTCTTTAAGATGTCTTTTGGAGTTCCATTTTGATGCAGGTGTTGAACATGTTGCGGCAGATATGTTTGAAAGTGTTCCAAAAGGAGATGCCATATTCATGAAGGTGAGTTTCAATTTTGCAGGCCAAATTCCCTGAGATATATATGTGCCTCTATATATGTGTATTATATACCATATCTATGGTATATGTATGTATGCCTGCCTATGGTACTATGTGATGTGATCACGGTGGATACTTCATGATTGGATTGACAATCACTGTTTGAAGTTGCTAAAGAATTTCGATGCAGCTCATACAGCTCTACCAGACAACGGGAAGGTCATAGTAGTGGAGGGAATGATTCCAGTGATACCTGATCCTAGCACTGCTGCAAAAAGCATGTGCCAAATTGATTTGGTAATGATGACTCAAATCCCAGGAGGGAAGGAGCGCACCCAAAACGAGTTTCTGGCCCTCGCAATTGGAGCTGGATTTACTGGCATTTCACTCGAATGTTTTATCTGCAACTTCTGGGTCATGGAATTTTACAAGTGGATATATATATCCATGGCATTGGCCGGGTTAATTAATTAGGACTTTATCTATTACGAATGCTCTTATGGAGTGTATTGTCTAAAGGAGTTTCGCAGACAAAGCATGTGGAACATTGAAAATGGATTGTTGAGAGGAGCAACCCAAGTTAATAATGATGACCCATGTTAAGTGCCCTCCGCATATTTATTTTCCATACTAAACAATTCCTAATTTATCTTCTATAGTTCAATTCCTAGCAGTATTTGACAGGGGCGGTTGGGTTTTATTTCAGTCTCCAACTAAGATCACGTTTGGAAACAACTTGCAAAATTTAGGAAAGAGTATTATAGGATGTTGCAATGGGACTACCTTTCTTTTTGGTCATCCTTGAGGAAACAATAATGAAAGACGCATACTATTAACTTGGTATGGAACTCTCTCCCTCCCCACCTCCCTTATCTGTGAAACCCTCTTTCCCAAACCCCTCTGTGCACGGAAGAGTCTGTAACCCATCCACAATGCAGAGTACTTAAAACCATTTGCAATGGTTAAAGCACTCCCAAGTTCCAAATTTAAAAATTAAATAAATAAATAAATAAACAAATAAAAACCTAGTTAGGTGATTGTGATAATGGACCAAAAGAGAAGGAAGGGAAACATAGCACATAGACAAATAGATTCATGTATCTAGACTTCAAGAAAAAGGTACATAACATGAGGTTTAATTTATTTACGTACTATGGTTAGATAGGGAAGCTGATGTGGAAAAAAAATGAAAAAAAGAAGGATTATCATATTTCATGCACGAACAGGACAGGATGCATCTGCAGCATAACTGAGAATTAATTCACCTTGCTAGCTAGCTAGTTAATTCGACCAGTAGCCAGCGCATTAGTTCCACGCGATTTCCTCTCAGCTGCTCCCAAGTATGTCGTTGTAGATGTCCTTGATTTTTTGTATCAAAGCTTCCCTAAAATTTCATTAAAATGGCTAGCTAATTACAACTTAACAAGACCAACAGATCAGAGAAGAAATTCTCAAAATAAGTTTAGATAATTAATTCGGTTATTATTATTATGAGAAAAAAAAGGATAAAAGTTGTTACCTGTCTGGTTTAAAGATCAGGTTTTGATATGCAAACCACTGCAAAATAAATTAAAGTTCACAAGACTATCAGCAATATTAATTGGTGGGATGAGAGGTTAAAACGGCCTGGTTTGATGTTTGTAAGGTTTGTAATTATATATATGACGACTATGACATTAATCAGAATCCAACTTTGAACTTACCCCAGTGTATCCAATTCCAACAAGTTCAAGAATACCAGGAATTAATGGAAGCCTGTCAATTGCCTGTTACAAGAGACAGAAGAGATACCAATCTCTCAGAATTTAATTTAATTTTTTTATTTTTTATTAATTCAATTTTCAAATAAGGAGTTGATGAAAATTGATTTCAGGTTCACAAATGAAACCGAGTTGATTGTCCATCTCAAGCATTTAATTAAATAGATGACATAATAATAATAATAATAATAATAATAATAATAATAATAATGTTGTTGTGATCGTGAAGGTGGAGGTGGAGGTTCTCACGTACCGAGATCATTCCAGCGGAGCCCCAAAGTGCAACAACGCCAGCCACACCAAGAGAACTCACTGCATACTTATCTTCAACTTTATTCCACTGTACAACCAAACATTTATGAGTTGTGCAAACTGGCAAATTATTTATACGGCAAATTATAGCCACGGTACTTCAAGTTTGTGTCTTTCGTCAATTTGGGTTATATAGTTTTAATTAATCTATTTTATTTTTAAATTTTTTATATTGAATAAATTTAGTTTAATTGATAATATTTCTTTTAAAATTGTACTAAAATCACATGCAAAACAGTCGATTTACTTTTCTCAAAATAATTGAGAGGTGACACAATATAAAAAATAAATTGCCAAAGTTAATAGAATTTGACTTACAATGACCAAATTGGCACAAAAGATAAATTATAGGGGCACAATTATAATTTATTCTAATATATACTAGCAGTGTTGGCACACACTACATATACGTCAGCGGAACAATTAGATTGACACTTACAAATTGAAACCGTTATATAAGGTTAGAAATTACTCCAAGCAGTTTTGCATGAACCGACTTCGTCTACTCCACCGTGATTGTTTGCTTCACAATAGTGTATATACACACACACACACACACACATATATATATATATATAGAAAATGAACAAGCTCATCTCTAGCTTGTCAAAAGGGTTTGGATTCTCCCAAGTTGGATGTGTGTTTGCATTAAGGATCCTCTAGAGTGAAATTTTCCTAAAGTTTCCTAGAGTGTTACATTGTGTGGTTGAGATTTACTGGCAAGTCACATCAGAAAAATTGATGTGACTTGCCAGTAAATCTCAACCGCACAATGTAGCACTCTAGGAAACTTTAGAGAAAAATCACTCTAGAGGATCCTTGCTCGTGTGTTTGGCCATCCAACTTGACAAAACAATTTGAGCTTGGTGGGCCCATTTTGGAGTTGACTTTGATAATTGGAATGATTCACTTTTTAAGACTCATTTAATAAAATATTTATGTAAAAAATTAAAAATAACCGGACATCAATAACTATATGTTTAAATCACATTTGTCTTAAGAAAATGAATGACAAATATAATTTTAAAAATAACCATCCATTTTTTGTAATACAAATATGATTCAAATATATAACTATCAATATCTAATGATTTTTATTTTTTACATTAGTATTCTACTCAACGAATCCTAAAACATAAACCATTTGAATTACCAAAATTAACTCCAAAATGGGCCACCAAGTCTAAGCTATCCAACATGAGAGAATTCAAACCCTAGTCAAAAAATGAAAAAATCCAATTTTTCATCCTAGGCTACAATAAGATCCATTTTGATAATAATATCCGTTTATTTTTTAGTTTTTTGTGTTTAGATTATTCATGAAAAATCATATTAATCCAATACTTACAACTACATAGTCTTATCATATTTCTTTTCAAAAAAATGGATAGTAAATCTCAAAATTATGCATGTTATCCTTTTTTTTTTCTGTAAATAAATATGAAATTTATAACGGTTTAATAGCTTTTTCATGAATAATCTACGTATAGGTAGCTAAAAAATAAACAAAATAAATCATTATAGTGGGACATGTGGTGAACCCACAAGTTTGATTGGACGGACTGGATAAAAGGGGATTATAATCTATCGGACTTGAGTCCTGTGACTGTGAGTCTCCCGTATTATTTGGTTAGATTGAATTTGTATCCTGTGTTTGTTTTTTCATGAGATTACATGTCTGGAAATGACTATTTTTAGTGAATTCAACGTTTGGTTGGACAGACTGGATAGATAAATGAACAAAAGATTATTTTATCTTTTTTTCAATTGTTTACTAAGTAATAGCAATATTAAACATATCTTTAATATTTTAATTATTTTTAGTTAGATTAAATAAAAATTTATTTTATTTTATTTTTTACACAATTAAATAAATTTATTTTTTAAATTAAACAAATAAAATATCAATAAAAATATATGTTATTTTTTTAATTAAAATTTTAAATAAATTTTTTTAAATAATGAAATTCAATAAAATATAAACAAAATTTTAAAATAAAATATCAATAAAAAATTATTTTAAAAAATTAAATAAATAACACATCAATAAAAAGTTAAATAAAATTATGTTATTTTTAAATTGAGACAAACAAATTAAACTATTTAATTAATTTTTGCATTACTTTAAATAAAAAATAAATATTTTTTTACAAACGCACCAAGCCGTACCCGTACTCTACTTTTTTTTTAATTTTATTGTATTAACATATCTGTATCGTACCAGTACTCATACCCGTATCTGTGCTTCATAGCTTTGGAGTTGGTGTTTAATTTCTTTTGTTGTCTTCATCAAGTCTCAATTTGAATCAGACCAAAAAAATAAGAAAAATTATTACTTATCACCTTTTGAGAAATGCTATAAACTCTGAATTTTTATTTGAAAAAATATGTACTTAAAATTTTAATGTATAATGTAAATTTAAACTAAATATATCGTGGACTACTCTCATGATGAATCTGATCATACGTTTCAGATTCTAAAAACTTTTATTGATAAGATTCTAATTGGAAAAGTCATTAAAAGTGAAGGTAAGTAAGTCATTAATGAATTACTGCTTCTTGGACTGTCTTGACAATGTCTGATAGCTCAGTTGCTGGAACAACTTCAGCAGGTGCTTCTCCAGTGGCCATGGCAGCTACATCGCGGGCAATTTTTCGACCTGAAAGCAGGGAGGCAACATCAGTAATGCATGCATGAAAAATATCAAAGGCTACAAGAAGACAACATTTCACATTTTAGACAAGTAAGGTTGTCATGTTTTTACTTCAATTGTAATTGGCAAACATTTGAACAGTAAAGGGTTTTACAAGTGAAGGAGGCCGAGGGTAGTATATATAATCTAATCTGTAAAGAAAAATGCTACACATAAAACGGATTTCATATCTGATTAGATACTTTATGTATTTATTAATGTAACGTGAATCCTGCTCCCTTTTTATGTTTAGTGGTAAGAAATCCATTTATATATACTATAAACATTACTAGATCTGTAAGGCTTTGTTTAGTTCATGAATTTTAGAAGGGATTTGAAAAATAAAAGGGAAAAGATGTGTAAAAGTGTGTGAAATGTAATTATATTCCATTCATATATCACCTATCTTTTCCCTTTTTTGTTCCAATTCCCTCATCAAAACTATGAATCAAATACGGCCTATGTGTAGGATGATGATGACTTACAGTAAGCAGTGGTCTTCCAGGGGCGGCTTTGAGAATGCACAGGAGGCGGAGGGAGGGTGGGGAGGGTTACACAATGTGATGATGCTGCAGCTGCTGATTGGCGAGCAGCCTTGCCATCAATGAGGGTGGAAGAGGAGGGTGAGGAGAGAGAAAGAGGGGTGGAGGTGGTGGTTGACGCCATGGCTATATCTTCTAAACCCCCCTGGCCCTGCCCCTGCTACAGGTTAATACAGATGAGTGTAGAGAAATATGTGGAGGGTTTTGATTTGTATTCTAAGCTCCTCGATAATTTTCCTCTGTTTAGTTTTTGTTTGTTTACTGGGAAAGTGAGATATTTTTCCTAAATGAGTGAATTTGGAGATCCTCCTTGTCCCAAGTGTGAAGCTGAAGAACCACTCATTCCGACAATCATCTGGATAGTGCTGACATGGCTCTTGGATAGGCATTTTATGGTGTTTGATGGGATAGGATCCTACAGGTTGGTCTTTGTTGGGCCCAAATAAACCTCCTCCTTTTTTCTTTTTCTTTTTTCTTCTTTCCTTTTTATATTTTTATTCTTTGAAACTATGAAGTATGAGTATTTCGAAAAATATGTCGTATCTATATCGGGTATTTACCGACGTATGGTACTTTTACATACGTATTGAGTACATAAAACACATACCCAAAAATTTTCTTTTTAATTTTTGAAGTACCAGGCATACCTAGTATATGCTCAAACCGTACCATACCTCAGTTGAAACAATATTTTCTTCTACTACAGAGATAAAACTCCTTTCACTAAACTTCTTTTTTATTTTTAGTTTTATACTTAGTATGATTTTAAAATTAAACTATGGTTAGTTATTTAATATATTGGTATTTAATTTTAATTTATACCTTTACTTTTGGCATTAAATATTAATTATAAGTTGGATCTTAACAAATTAAACTATTTAATTAATTTTTGCATTACTTTAAATAAAAAATAAATATTTTTTTACAAACGCACCAAGCCGTACCCGTACTCTACTTTTTTTTTAATTTTATTGTATTAACATATCTGTATCGTACCAGTACTCATACCCGTATCTGTGCTTCATAGCTTTGGAGTTGGTGTTTAATTTCTTTTGTTGTCTTCATCAAGTCTCAATTTGAATCAGACCAAAAAAATAAGAAAAATTATTACTTATCACCTTTTGAGAAATGCTATAAACTCTGAATTTTTATTTGAAAAAATATGTACTTAAAATTTTAATGTATAATGTAAATTTAAACTAAATATATCGTGGACTACTCTCATGATGAATCTGATCATACGTTTCAGATTCTAAAAACTTTTATTGATAAGATTCTAAATAACGTTACATTACTGATTATCTTCAATTCGTGTGATGAGCCTGCCGGGGTATTGTTTATTTTGGTTGATGAGATGGGCTGTAAAACCTGGCATTGGCAATAGGAAACTAAGAGAAGGCCTATCTATTATTACCCTTCTCTCGAAACACCATGGAGGACCAAGTTTGTTCATACAATAAGAGGGCAACAGGTGTGCACATCTTTTGGCTAATGAAGGACACGGGAAAAACTCTAGTTATGAAGTCATTCTCAGCGCCCCCTCTCTCTCTCTCTCTCTGTTATGTCAAGAAGGTTGGTCTATCTGTTATTACCCTTCTCTCGAAACACCATGTTGGACCAAGTTTATTCATAGAATAAGAGGGCAACAGGTGTGCACATCTTTTGGCTAATGAAGGACACGGGAAAAACTCTAGTTATGAAGTCATTCTCAGCGCCCCCTCTCTCTCTCTCTCTCTCTCTCTCTCCCTAATGGGTTGCCTATTTTGAGGGATTTTCTTGTTTGGTGTAGCCTTCCAAAGCTAGGCCGCACAGCCTCCAAAGCACCCCAAAAACAAAACAAAAAAACAGCAGCAACCAAGTGTAGATTGATTGCGAAATCGGGCTATGAACTGCTTCTCAAATCAACTTTGATGCTCAAAATCTAAAATATCCATCCAATGCTAAAAATTGTACATGACAAGCCAGCCCCAATAATCTAAAATATCCATCTTAAAGAGAATTTTTTTAAAAAATGGACAAAATAAAGTCAAACAAACAAGCTGCCCAGATGCTCATACAAGTCATCTCTTTCACTACTAAGAGTACTAATGCTCTATCTGTATGGTTACATGACTGATATTATGCTCCCTCCTGATATAGTCAATCACTTTCTTTAGCACCAAGTCTGCGTCAGCTTCAGGCCTTATTTTGACATGGCAAGCTAACAGAACCTTGCCTACTGTAATGGCCCAGATATGCAGCTCATGGATGGCCATAACTTCATCTATCTCACATAGCCCCTTCCCAAGCTTTGTCGCATCAACCTCTCTAGGTGTGCTTTCCATCAAGACTTCAAGTATGTTGCGTAGCATTTTGATAGTCGTCCCCAAAACAATCACAGAAAATATAAGGGTGCAAATCAGATCAATTATCTTCCACTCCGGTTTATACCATATGACTGCCCCTCCAATCATCACTCCAACGCTCTGGATGGAATCCCCGAGTACGTGGAGATAAGCTCCCTGCACATTAATGTTCCGTCGCTTCTTTTGTTCATGTTCACTTTTTGGTTTGCTTTTGTCTTGGGAAGATTTCTTGAGAAGTGGTACCACAATAGCTTCCTCCCCAGTATGGCTGTACTCTTCGTGCTCCTCATGACTACAGTGATGCTCCTCACGACTACAGTGATGCGTAATCTTCAATCCATGGCTGCGATCATGAACATGATCATTATGGCTGTGGCTGTGACCATGATCATGGCCACCATGACTATGGTCATGACCCAACATGACAGCCATGATAATATTTACCACCAGACCAAAAGCAGCAACAATAAACATGAGGAAGCCATTGACAGTACCTGTCTCATGAATAAGTCTTGTAATGGCTTCATAAACTAAAATCCCCGCAAGAAGCCATATGAGCTGGATGGAAACCAGAGTGCCCAGAATCTCTACCCTAAAGAATCCATAAGACTGACGGGGAGTGGCTTCCCAACCTGCTGCCCACAAAGAAAACAGTGAAATAGCAAAAGCTGCAACATCTGAGAGTAGATGTGCTGCATCAGTTAAAATTGCCAGACTATTGGCTTTGATGCCACCAACTATTTCGATGCTCATGAAGACAACACAAAGTGCAACTGCTATAAAAAGCTTCCGCATTGAAGCTGATCGCTCTTTGGCATCCTTGGAGATGGTTACAGCATCTGAGAATCCACAAGCCGCTTCCCCACATATCTTGCTCCCTCCGAGGCTTGTCTCTCCAACAGGAACTTCACCACTTATCTCAATAATCTGGCCGTGTTGATGAGTCTGATCTTCCATCTAATTGTAGAAGAAAAACACTCTCAGAAACTTTCAATTTTCAATTGCACATGCACTACTAGTAGGACTGAAACAAAGTTTCCCATCATAGATCCAACAAAAAGATGCAATATGTTTAGAAAGTACACATAATAGCATTCTAGTTGTCAAATATAACTAAAACATTCATTATATAATAAGCAGGATGGGACCCAGTGAACCAGCAAAAGAATGCCTGCAATGGAGTAGAGGTTTGTGCAGAGCCCAAAGAAAAATAAATAAATAAATGTACAAAAACAGTGGGTTCTTAATCAATGGATGATGGTTGAATGTGAACAAACTTCTTTACCATTTCTTATAGTTATGCATAAAGGCTAAGTAAATTACATGGACTCGGATATGGGTGCCAGAAACGGATACGTGTCTAGGTGTCAGATTCACTAGTTTCCTTAGCTATAGGATATGGCGACTCGACAAAAAAAATGGATATGAGCACAGAGACATGGCACAGGTAGAAATGAAACATGGCTAGGATCAAGTATTTGTTATCAAGGAGATTTACATATAAAGGCTTCACTTTCTATTCATGTAATTAAGATACAGGCATTGAAATTAACAAACAAATGACTAGTTACACTTCTATATACTGTAGCAAAGAATTTGAAAACCAAGTAATAAACCTTAAATTCCTACCTTTTCTTCTCTATACTTCATACAACCCTTCTCTTTTGGCAAGAGAAGCAAACATATCAATGCTTCTCCAGAATCTAAGACACAAGCATCAAAACTTTTGCGGGATGTATAGTCATCTGTTTTGTATAGCAACATGAAAGTCTGAGAATAAGAGATAGAAAGTGACACATTCATGGCACTTAGAGTAGAACACCAGCACTATAGGAGTGAACTCGGAGAGCAACAAAGGGAAACATTCAAGCCAGGTAACAGCAAATAAAAGTGATGTGGCTTCAGTTTTTTAAGAGATTACTGCTGCCCAATAAATGAATATAGGCACACAATATAAAACAAAATAAATTGACCTGATAATGAACCATTTTGAGATGCAAAAGTACTGTATGAAACAATAAGGTACCATAAGCCCTCATTTGGCATAAGCCAAACGGAGGCTTTTGGCTAAAATAACTACAAAAAGACAGAATAAGTTTTTTAACCCAATAAGACAAAATGTCACATCTAAACCATAGTCATTTCATTTTTTTCTCTCACAAAAGTCAAAAAAGCCAAAAAGCCTATTCCAAACGAGGCCTTTTAGCCAAAAAGCCAAAAAGCTAACCCAGATCCCAAACAAACCCTTGGCTAAATATGCTATATTGTTCATTTGTTTGGGAATAATATTAATTGACTACTGTACGTCAGCAATTCAATAGCAATATCTTAAATTTTCTTCCACACAATCTAAAGATCCTTTGCGGGAAGTGCAAACACTTGATCAGAAATGATAAAGGAGACGGAAAAACATGAGATAAGAACTAATCCAACTGCAAAATGCGATAGAATGCTCTCCAAAAGCAAGCCTTCCATGGTTTATAAATTGGTCTTTCCAAAATTTCACCCTTTTAAATGTAGATCATAACTGCAGCATTGAGATAAGGAAGTCACAGACTGACATTGATAGTGGCATCCGTCTCTCACATGAATAAACCTACTGTTTCCTGTGGCAAATAATCTATGCCCACTGGAATGGATTGTTGTTTTCCTTTAGAGACGGTACAATTTGTGTGCAGCTGTGTTTATAACTTTTAAGGGGATTACTAGAGAAAGCACATGGATTAATTTAAATTGCTCATAGTTATAAGGAAGAAGATGTAGCAGAGGCAGTACTAGCATCTATCTTACAAGTTACAACGTAGGGTATTAAGTTCAACTACAAAAGGAAACACAAACAAAAGCATAGGAAGCTACTTTCATACAAATCACTAATTAATTAAGTGCATGAAAAAAAAAAGAATTCAAAGTTAAGAATCGGAGAAAAGATTGACAGTGAAGGTAGCTTCCTCAAAGATTATTGGTACTAGTGCAAGAAGAAATAATTTGAAGGTATAAAGCACGAGGCAAGAGAAAAACACAAAGGTTATCATTTAAGACAAAGGAAAGCACCGAGATGAGCTCAAGGTTACATTTAAATGAAGTTGAATTGTAACAGCCGCAAGTCAATGGTTCTCAGGCAATGAAAAACAGAAGTGAAATTGGACAACAAAACTAATAGCCAATTAATCTGTTTTGGACAAGGAAAGATCAACATAACAACAATAGGAGGATTCAAAGCCGAGAAGAAAAAGAATCCGGCAACGCAGCCAACTCAACAAAACAAAGGCTGGAAGTCAAGAAATGTTAATTTTGGTGAAAGAAGAAAGGCACATATGCCGTCTTCCGTCCAATTAGAGAGGACTCTTAATTCCAAGTGAGACGATCCTTCAAACATCTTAAAATCTTAAAAATAATAAACAAACACAAGCTGTGTATTATTCATACATGAAATTACTTTGCCGGACAGAGATGCTTACAACTTGTAGTACAAAAACACATCAGCAGCTGAACAAGCATTAGAATTTAGATGTAAAATAAACTACATAGAGACAAAGGCCCTGATTGGTAAGGTTTATTTTCAACTTATTTCAGCTTTTAGCTTAATTTAAGCTATTTTAATGTGTTTGGTTCAGCTTAATAATACAGCTTATACCTTTTTGTATGCCAAAAATTAACTTGGGGGTAGAGAAGTTTAATTTATAAGTCAAAAATCAATTTACGTTCACAGTTATAAGTTATAAACTGTTAGGGCATGTTTGATTGGAAGGATTAGAGTATGGGATTGGGATTATTAATCCATAGGCACAATTATCCCATGTTTGTTTTGATATTTTGTTTTAAGATTATTAATCCAATAGATAATTAATCCAATAAATTTGTAGGATTATTAATAATGGGCTGGGGTGGGATTGTGAATACCACACTAATTTAATTTGATAGAATTATTAATACCTCAATCAAACATGGCCTTGGTTATTTCCCACGACTCTACCAAAACGGCCCAAAACCCTAACACGTTTGTTTGAGCTTTAACACCCCCAAATTGACAATACTTCAATATGAATCATTGAAAGTTTACAAATCACAATCATAGAGGGAGAAAAAAAAATTAAAAATATGTGTGTGTGTCAGCAGGCAGCAATCAAAATCCATTTGTGGATTATAACCGACGAACAAAAGAGAGTACAAGAAAAGATTAAAAAACGATTTCATGATCAAAAGACACCATGCCGTATGGAGTTAGATTAGAGTAGAAAAAGAAGAATAGCAATGATTGAAGATTATTGAATACAGAGTACAGTACAGACCTGCCGAGCCATAAAGAGAGAGAAAGATGGAGTACGAGTTCCACCTACCTTCTAGTGATGGGGGAGGGGGGGGGTTGGTGGTGTTTGGTGTATGCGGGAATCGCTAACTTCGAAGGTGGAGGCCTCTCTCTCTCTCCTCTCTTTTTTTTGTTTGGTTTTGTTTTGTTTTCGCTTTCCAGCTTCCTTCGTTTTGCATCTCCCTTTCTTTCAGTCTCGACGACGACCCTTCATATAATAATAAAACGGGTAATTACACTGACACCAGGGCCGGCCCTGGGATGAGGCGCCTGAGCGGGTCGCCTCGGCCTCCAATTTTAAGCAAAATTTAGGATCTCAATTAAAAAAGTATCTCATGTCATGTTATTTCATAATTATTTTAATATTAATTTAATTTATTTTTTTTTTGTTGTTGTGTGATGTTATTTTAATTTATGTTTGATTGATATTTAATGTGAAAACTTTCACTTTTAATTAAAAATAACTTAGCAAATGTATTGAGAGATTAAAATTTTTTTCATACGTTGAATTTTATAAAATTTATTTCAACTGAAATTATTCATAGAATGTTTAATTTTAATTCAATTATATTTTTCTAATTAAAAAAAATGTACCTTATTACTATATATTTTTTATTAGATTGACTCTAAAATAGGTAACAAAAAAATATATATCTTAAATAAAAAAAAGATATTAGCCTTAATTATTGTTTTACATACTTTTTTATTCAGTTAGATAGAGTTAAATAAAAGATTAAAAAAATGTCATGGCATCCCTTAGTGAACATTCAAATATATAACTAATAATCCATGTTATTGAGTTGTGTCATACTTTGATTCATGTTGAAAATAGTCAACCTTAACTTGCTAATTTTATATATTGCTTGAGTTGGGTCGAAAATTCTCATCCTTACCCCCAATTAATTTTTGTTCTTATAGCATTGGTAAGCTAAAAAATAAAGATTCGATTCAACTAATTGAAATTCAACTATTATATATATATATATATTTGTTATCTAAATTTTGTTAAATTGTAATGCAATAGAAATAAATTTTTATCTTTTTTGTTTTATCCAAACAATTTTTTTTTTTTTTTTGGATAATGATATATGAAGACCCAATTTAAAAAATTCGCCTTAAGCCCCTAATAAATCAGGGCCGGCCCTGACTGACACCCCTCCTATTTCATGATAATTTCATTACCTATTATCCCTCAATTGCTGATACCATATCCTATAATTTTTTAAATAATCATCTTGCCCTTTTTTTACTATTTCTTCTTCCTATCATCATGATTATATTCTATAATTTTTTATCATTAAATTCTATATGAACATCTAAACATATTTTTATTAAGTAATGATATACAAATATAAATTTTATATATAATTTTCAAACACAATGATATTAATAGTGACCTTTTACTTTAACATAAAACACCTATAAACATGATTTTTATTTACAATAATATTATTATGACAATATTTTTTGTATGAATTTTTATATATGAATATAATTTTCCATTTTTATTTCTACCATTATATCTAAATTAGATCAATTTAATCTAGATATAATTAAAAAGTATGAAATTTGTATAAATTTTTTTAAAAAAAAAAAAACCCATTAAATATAAAGATAATATATTGAATTTAGTATTTTTATATTTTTTTGTATTTAGTGAATTTAAAAAAAAAATCATAAAATATTATATTTCTTAAGTCTACCTAGATTAAGCGTATCTACAAAATAAAAAAATAAAAAATGGCTTAAATATTTTTAAAAAGAAAATAGTAAAAATAAAAAAATATGAAAAATAAAAAAACTCAAATTTTTTGTGTGAATTAAACCAAAAAAGATTGTTATTTCTCTTGAAATGACATAAATAAAATATTTTTATTATTTTATTATTTTATATGTATCAAGGTTAAGGAACAAATGTGTAACGCCCTCAAAATACAAGATAAATAATCCATACATAAGATTCATCGATTTAATGAAAATAATATACTTTCATTCTTCAGAGTTATATTACACAAAGGTATTACATGCATTATACATTCACAAACATTCATTTTGAATCTACAACATGTAATACAAGTTGATAACAACAAAATAAATGCCCTATAGGCTTACATCTTTCCAAGATATCACTTGGTTACAACAAAAAGAGTCCTAGGCTCTATACATGTAAAGCCTTTGGCTTGAATAAACATTTAAACATTCAAAACAACAAAATAATGAAAGAGAGCCTCCAGCTCCTAAGTCATCCCAAACTAAGTCCTTGGAGGAAGCATGCCATCAGTACCTGAAAATGGTTTCTCAAGTAGAGTGAGCCAATGCCCAATAGAGATAAACTAACACAGTATATGAAGTTTAACTAAGATATAAACATCAGGCATATATATTCAATATTCATGACAACACACATTCTCCCCATAAGTAAACGATATTGATACCAATATCTCAATCTATTTTCGTCAATTCCTTTCAAGTTGATTCATTTCATTTCAATTCCTAGACTGAGTTTATAGTTCTCCAAATGACCTAACTGAGATTACAACTCAGGGGTTTTCAATCAACAAAACTATCACATGGACACTTTAGTCTTGCCATTTTACGAAAATTTCATCCGCGGGAACCAGCACCCATGTAAGCATAAGATTTCGGGACTTTCACTTTGGACACTCTGGCCAACTTAATTCTCAATGGAGTCCATCTCCTATCTCTTCCCAAACAATGGAGTACATTCCATTTCTTCTCCCAAACAACTTACATATACAATGTATTCAAAAACACCGTCATATTCAATGACATTCAATTACACATATTCAAGGTATTCAACATACCGTCATGTTCACTAGCATAATTAAATGATTAGTTTCAATCCACCTAATTCTTATGCAGTTTCTACAACAACCATAGCTATCCTCCACCGATAACCCAAAATAAATATTTCTAACATATATATATATATTATATAACAAATAATTTATCAAATTCTAGTAGGTGAGTGATTCAATCAATCTAACTACACCATCCATTCATATGACTTCCCAATTTCACATTTCTCATACCAATTTCATTATTTATACAAAATAATTATTTAACACAATTTAGGGCAAACTTTCCCCCTTATCCAAATATCAACCCCAAGGCCAAATTTCACCATTTTAACCCAAGGAACCTCATATTCAATACCCCATACATATATATGGAACCCAATATAGAAAACTCCTCTTTCAAATTTTGAATCCAAACCCTAACTTCACCTAAATCCTCCCAAATTCCACCATTTATACAAAAAGACAAATACCTAGGTTAAAAACCATATTAAGGTGTAGAATATCCCTACCTCAAATGTAGAAGCATAAAGGAGAAGAAGGAGATCCTCAAAAGTGCGCAAAACCAAGCTTGGTTCGGATGGAAATGAAGCCCACAAGATGCTCCATCTTTTTCTCAAAGGAAGTAAGGTAGTGGTGCTTGGATCAAAGAGTATTTGTAGAGAGAGTGTGTGTTCTAGAGAAAGAGGGTGCCGAATTAGGGTTTCTTGCAAAAAGGAAATCAAAAAGTGATGTAAAACTCATTTGCTACGAACTGATATACGCGACCTTCGCTTGAGCGAAGGAGTTGTCGCTCGAGCGACCAGACACAACAAGTGACCTTACTTGAGCGCAAGAAGAGTCGCTCGAGCACAGACTGCAAGCTTCAGAAGTTTTACAGATGCACATGCTCGCTCGAGCGAAGAACTTCACCTTTCCAGAAATTCTACGTCTAGGAAAGAAACCTGAAGACTCTCAAATCTCGCTCGAGCGAAGAAGCAAATTTCACAAGGCTCGCTCGAGCGAATGAGCCAAAATCTGAACAACAACAATCTAGACCAACAAACAACCAACCTGCTCCAAACACACCTAACATGTTCCAAAACTCAAATTTGAAGAGTTAAAGGAGGAAAACAAGTCATGGATACAATATTAAACCACGAAACCCGAGTCCAAAATGCAACAAAGGTCGGGTCAAGACTGGGATTGCTATAAAATATGTCATTTTAATCTAACATGAGTAAGTATAATTTTTTAAATAAAATGAAGAATCTGTATTAAATAGAAACTTCAGCGGTGTCAGTGTAATTTACCCTAATAAAATTGACTACTTGGACTGTGATTGTCACGACCCCATTCCGCCCCTAGTAGAATGGTGCCGTGATGGCCAGTAATCCGAGATTACCGAAGGCCAAGTTTCAAAATTCGTACACAATCATAGTATAAATATATGGGGCTCACAAGCGCGGAAGCAATAATTTACAATACAAGTGGTCCATAAGAGCTGTGCATAAGTCAAATGGAATGGCATACAACTTTACATAACTTTACGACTTGAATACAAATAAAACGAAGTACAAAAATATATATTACATCTTGATCAAAAGGCTTCTCAAGCCGACATGTGCAAATTACAAGTATTACACGCTGAGAAGCA